TAATTAATTATATTTATAAAATATCCCTAAACATATCTGCAAGTTTACATTTGTCATCAAGAATCATAAAAATTTGCGGATGATAAGAGAATCATGTACCCACACCATTAGGTTTATACCAAAAACTTGTCATATTTATTTTTCCAAACGGAACAAGATGAAGGTGATAATAGTAAGTGCTTAAACGACAAAAAAAAACAAAAAATAAAAAATTTTTTGATGGTCAAATTTTTGTAGAGGACCAAATATTTTTTACTAGGCGTCATTTTTCATCAATGGGGTGGTTGCAAGAGCATATGAGTACCACAGCTTAAATCTACCTATTTCAATATTCCGTTCAAACTTTTTTTAATGTAAATTAATGTAAATAATCGCCAAGGAATTATTTAAGTTCGATCGCCTTTAATTAAGGAATGTTAATTGTAAAATTTGTAAATAATATAATTTGAACTACAGCGAGGAAGAAATAGAAAGAAAGAAGGGGGAATGAGAGAGTGAGAGAAAGAGTAAGAAAGAGGGTTACCTTTCGCTTTTGTTTTTTAATATGTTAAAATTGAATTGAATGATTCAACTAGAGAATTATTATATAATTTTCAACAAAAATTAATTATGTTAATTCGATCAGTACCACTAAACCGAGAAACTGACTGAATACTTAAAGAAAAATATTATATACACAACTTTTCACAAATACCTGAATGTAATGATCATTTGCTTTCATAACTGTTTTGTCAGTTTCTTTTAAAACCAGTAAAATTAGTATTTTAAATTTTAGTTAATATTGTTGGTCTGTGTTTGTTTCTTCAACAACAAAAAAGATTTTGTTAACCACAAGACAGGCAATTGTTCCTTTTGGATGTCATAAAGTTATTTGTTAGACGTTTATTGCTCACAAGCATTGTTTTATGTAGCACAATAATGAATGTACACTTTCTAGATTATTGTAATAATTATTATTAAGATGGTTATTGTTACTGTAAGAAAAGTCCATCGTGTAAATATTATTCGACTTTTTAATGTTATTTTGTACTGAATGTAAATGAAAAGTATAAAGAAGTAGTGAGGGACGTTATCGGACCGAAAGGGCGAAAACGTCTCCAAAAGAGGCCATTTTTTATAGAATAGAAAATTTATTTTTACTCAACATAAACATAAAACTTACGAAAATACATTACAACAAACAAAATTCACTGTTTTGACTGCAATCTGTGATTAATGAGAAAAAATAAATTTTGGTAATTAACAGTTGTAAACACATTTAACTAAAAATACATCTTTGAAAATTACATTAACGTTGTTTCATTTAACCGCTAAGGTAATTTGCATCATTGTAAATCATCTTCATCATAAAGATCATCAAAATCTGTAAAGTAAGGAGTTGAGAGCATTTTATTTGCCAACCTCAATTTACCAATAAAAATATAGTGGGGCTTTGCAAATTCAAAATATTAGCCCAAGCTACACAAGACACTAATGTAGGACTAATTATCATAATGCTGAATAATTTGATAGAAATCAAAGTATTTCATCTATATTATGTGGATGTTTTTTTTTTGTATACTAGTATTAAAACACTAATCAACTGTAAGATCAACTTAGAATGAAATTTACAGTAAAAACTCGACAAAATAAATTAGTCACAAGTCACATTGCTAATTAATATAACAAACACTGTAGTGTTGTCACTTGCTACTTTTAGGTTGAGAGTAATATTAAAATGGTGATACTCATAAAATTATAAATAGTGCTTAATATCTCCTTTTAAGAAAAGCATCTCTGTATCTTGTGCATACTCTTATATGGTATGTTGTAAATTAATTATTTCCCATTTAATAAAATACAATAAAAAATAAAATATAGGATATTTACCGTTAAAAAAGTCTGCATGTACAGATTTCTCATTAGCAACTAAATCCATCAGCAAACCACTAGAGCCTCCTGCCTGTAAGTTATAATGATAAAAATATGTTAATAAAGCCACCATAATATTTAATTATTGATTGGAGTATATTTTTAAAAACAGTAGCTTAATGGTTATGTTTCAATTAAGTTTTGAGTAAACTTACCTCCTCTAAGTCCATATAAGGACCTGCTCCTTCAGGAAACATTTCATCTACTACAACTGCTGGTTTCATTTTATTTTCAGAGAATAAGATCAAAAATAAGGATTTTAAACGAAACAGATTTACACAATGTAAGGTTAAGATTGAGTTTTCGAAGTTGTTTGTTATCACAAAATGACAGTTAGTAAATCATTGATAAATCAACTCCATGTAGTCACTACTTCATTTTAAAAATACGTAGTAATAATTATTTCCAAATACAGAAATAAATACATTTTTAATTTTATCCATTAATTACCAAAAGATAATGTTTGCTAAAGAAAATAAATATGCTAAATTTTGATAATAAGTTTGAAGTAGGTAAAATGGATTAGGCTTATAATATAATTAAAAAGAATTTTAGAGATGTAGGGTACAGTAGTAATAATATAAGAAACGAGGCAGGGGTCATTTTGATAGAAAATGAGGAAAAGGCAGATAGGTGGAAAGAATATTTCGAGAACCTATACGTAGGCCATGAGTTATGATATATATTAGAGAAGGAAGATAGTGTCGAGATACATAAGCTTTCTTTTCCGCCGCTCCCACTGCCCATGTTTCGCACCCGTACAACGCCGCGCTCTAAACATACACCTTTAACAAACTTTCGATTTTCTAAATGTTCATAAAGATAGATTCTGTTTTTCATTCCGATGTTGTGGTACTTGCAGGACCATGTATTTTATTTTTGGATAATTTATTTTTATGGTGCAAGACTTCAGAACTCTCGGTATACTGTGCTATTACATAAATTAATTACAGTTGATTGTTGTGAAAATAGTAAATTAAAATTGTCAACCCGTTTTTGTCATAAATTTTCAAGAAGTCCATATATCAAAAACTATCAAGATTTCTGGCACATGGTTTTTGAAAAAAGTGATCTTTAACTTTATCACAGAATTGATATATTTAATGAAATAGAGTCTGTTCCATTAAAAACAACAAAGTTGGGTATCTGCCAGCAAAAACAGGACACCATGTACATTCATGGATAATTTTAGAAAATGCACAATNAATTTGACAGAATCGGTGACAATTAAATTAATATATAATTTTGAATGGAAAAGCGAAGGTGTATTCAAATGAATTAAATGACAATTTGTAAACTGATCTGCTCCAAGAAAATTAAAAAAAACGAGTTAGTCTGCATTAGACTATCAATTACATATAATGTAGGCTAAATTCTACTTATTTGCAGCTTATGCAAAATGATCTTCTGAACTAATGAATAATAATATAGAATAATCGATTTATTGCTTGATAGTAACAATTTGAATTACATTATAATTAAATACATGGTGGTAAAAGATAAAACTGTATATTTCACAATCGGCATCTTTCTTAACTCTGATAAAAACAGAGTTTATTTATACTATCTTTTACAACCTCATTATTGTTAATATCACAATATTTGAAATAACAACACTAACATACCCTATATAATTATTTCTTAATGCTTAAAAACTTGAATAATAATAAATAAGTAAAAAAACTACAATTAACTTGTCTGCTTTAATAAAATCACTTGCACGTTTAAGTGATTAAAAATTAATAAATACTGAATGATAGGAATAAAACGAAGTCTTTTTACTGAGTTTCTTATCGTATCGCTATCATTCTTTATCTTATGGAAAATAAACTTAATCTTAAATTAATTAGTAAAAGAAGGAAAGAAAAACCAAGTTTGGAGTAAAGCACAACTACCCATATTAGTTAAAACAAGATATTGTTTTCATGGGGATGTATTCAGCTTCTTTTTTGTTTTGGGAAAACCTAAAATCAATAATAAATTAAAAGTATATAAATCGAGAATAAAAATTTAATTTTAGTAAAAATATGAAATAATTTCTTAACGCAAATCCTCTACATAAAAACTTCACTCCTCAAAACTAATAAAAAACACTACGGTTTCCATAATTTTCTTTAATAACTTTTCGATACAAGTTTGTTTAGATTAACTTATATAACATTTGTGACTTTATCTATATGTATGTTTATTTGTAATTACATTTTGGTATATATTAAAACGGTGTTAAAATTCATTACAGTTTAAAGTAAATATTTATTAAATTCAAATGATCTACAGTAGAAATTGTAGATGAATGTTCATAGTTCCTGCTTTAAAAAAAATTGATAAGAAATTAAAGATTCCCTTTTAGATCAACAAATTGGTGGTCATTAATACAACACGAGTGTAGCAAAGCCAAAAAGTTAAAATAAGAAATTACGGTTTCTAAGCTCTGTAGCACATGGATGTAGTATTGGGTAAAGTAATAATAAACCACCGTTTTGTACCCCATTTCATATATTTTTATTCACAATTTTCCAGCTTTTACTACATCTTTCCAGTATAACATGAGACACAATTTTACTCACAGCCTAAATGTCACGTCGAAAAATTTATTCAAAAAATAAGAAACGAAATAAAAATCGTTCTTCTACATCAAAAGTATCTAATTAAAGTATTGAAATCCTTAATTACTTTTTTCTTATTTAGTAATCGTCTCATTTACTTTACAATCACAAATTTATACCATTTAGCACACTACCATAGACAATTATTTGGCAGAGGCCCTTCCTTCGAAACACAAGATGTTAGCTGCAAAAATTTGAAAATGCACCAAAGGCTCCATCCTCAACAACAAAAAAATTTCCTTCTTAGTATTCGACTCAAAACTTAAATATCCATTTACTTTATAGTCCTCAATTTATAATATATATATTGTGAGTAGTACTTTAGGCTACTTTATTTGAAATTTTAATGTGTTGCAACGAAAGTTTATAAATGTTTCAAGTCAAATACTTTTAATAATACATTTATTTAGAGCCTTTTAAGATAGTTTTACATTTCCATTTTGCCTTGTTTAATATTATGGCAGCAGTTTTCAACAACACAGTACCAAAAAGCCAATAGCATAAAAATGATTTTGAATGTTTATCAAAAGATGATTATAGAAAGGTAAAAAATATTATGAAGGGATTGGTGAAACAATGAACATCAAAAAACTGACAGGGGTAAGGCATATAAAAGCATTTTTTTAATTAACACAAAAATAATTATCAACAGTAGTGTCTACCTATTTATTTGTAATATATATCTATCTCTATGCAACAGTTTCACCGCTTTTGTTTTTTTTTACTAAAATGATTATTTGTGTTATCAAAAACTAACGACTACCAAAATGTTTAGTCACACAGACAGTAAAGCTATATCATCATTATCGCAAGAAAATGTTTGTTATTCCCTATTAAATTAACGCTTTTAATAAAAAATGAAATGTTGCAGAAAATTAACGTTAAGTAATTTAACCAATTAATTATTATTAGATACCACTATACAAAGTTTCCTATTTTCATTATCATTAAACTAATAAAATAGAATAAGGATCAATAAAAGCGTTAATAATACTAATTTTATATATTTAGAAATTTGAAAAATTGAACATAAAAAAAACAAATACAATTTAAGGAAGAGTTTACAAACGTACAACACAACGAAAAACGTTAAAAATAATGACTAAAAGCTGTTTTAAATTGTACCAAAGAAAAAATTAAATGAGACTAAACGTTTACGCCACTTTACACCACAAAAGATACCAAGCTAAATCTGACTTTAAAAACAAATACTTATGGAAAAGTGAAGTTTCTATTAAAACATTGTCAATATTATGCTCTAAACTACATTTAAACGCAAAGAAAAAAAAAAGGATCCCAATGAAAATTACTGGGTACAGTTTCTATTTATTATTATTTTAAAACAATTTATCCTAATAGATTCTTCATTTTCCTCACTACAATTTCGCTGGACATAAATACTGAAGGCATAATAACATTGTACCGCAATGCAAATACGTCTCAAGTTTGCAAATATATATATTTTTTCGGTAATAGCTTGAAAATTGTTGGTAGCATTTAAGTTTCACGTGGTGTAAAATGGCAAAAATACAGTATATATATTTTTTACGAACATCAATGTACCACGGAGCAGTTGTTAGACTCACATGGAAAGGTATCCCCGGGCTTGGGCACGTTTTCTTCCAATCAGGTAAGCCACAAGAACGATTATAACTAGAGCAGCTAGAGCACAACCCACTGCCAAAGGCACCACGTCCGAAGTACTTATGGGTTCGCAATCTTCAGCTAAAAAACAAACAGGAAAAAATGTAAGCAACTTTATTTTTTACGTATCTTTCTGGGATAAATTAAAATGTAATAAAATCTAGGTACTCCATATTAGTAGTAATCAAAATAGTAATAATAGAGAAAAGTAAAAATCCAGAATAATTTTTCCTGCAGTTTCTTTTGTTAGATACTGCCATGAATAATTTGACAGAATCGGTGACAATTAAATTAATATAGATTCCTTAGTGTATGTATGTAAATAGAAATATTGATATATGCAGAAGTTAATTCCAAAAATATATTTTTATGTATATGTATACCATACAAAACAGCTAATAAAATATTGAAAATTTTAAACGAGCACGAGTTTTGGCAGTGCTTTATAAACAATATTTTCAAAATAATATTACGTTATTTTTGAGAACACGCCAAAATGTAATCGATTAAAAAGTTCAGAAAAAATTTTCATGTTTGCTAATTAGCGAAAGTAGAATAAGAAGGATAGCGATCACTGGGACATTTTAAAAAATTAAATAAATACGAACTGTGATCTTTACACTGGAAGATAACAAGTTCGGTGACCTGAAATTTCACGTTAATATTATGAAGGTAAAACAAGATAAACTATCTATCAATAAAGCACATATAGTTAAACAAACGAATAGAAGATCATTAGTTTGTATATTTACAAATCAAAGAATTTTGTTCTTACACAGTAATAGTAAATTTTGATTACAGACTTACGTAAAACATTGCACTTTCATGCACATTTGTGGTAGTAATGAGATTAAAATAAATATAATTCCAACTTTTTGTTTAGGAAAATATTTACTGCTCAGCCTCGAACCTAATGAACTTTTAATTAAAGTTACGGTAAGTGATAATGCTTACCTGACTCAAACTCCTGGCTAGAGGAATTGTGGAAAGCCTGGAATTGAGTGTGCCAGATATGAAGATACCCAACTGTGACATTAGAGTTTTCAGTTAAATTGAGGGTTTGTTCCTTATCACATTTATAAGATTTTGACGAGCTTGTTGTGAAATGAGTGTGATTATAAATCAACACTATTGGTTCTGTTCCTGTAAGAAATAATAACGATAATCATATTTGAACAATATCCCTAAACACTAAAGTTCATATTAAATTAAAAACATTTTCATTGATTACTAATTAATATCTACTTATTTTGTTAATAAAAATGTTCAAGGATTAATTAGAATGGTTGTCAGCTAGTTCCATAAATTATTTGGCTTTGGTATATATATGCAATTTAATTGAATCTTTTCAATTATGCTATTAATAAAATTAACTTTTCGTTATGATGCTAAACTGCATATATTTACGAGTTTTCATTTAAAAAAAGTAAAATTTATTGGCTATTTAATTTTAGTAACACAATCACATTTGCGATATCACTTAGAGATACGTTTCTCTTCTCGTGTTACAAAGTGATACGTAATCAATTTGCAAGCTTTTCATGGAACTCTGATTCTTTAACTTTTGATACGGCTTTTCCATAATATAATATTTTGTTACATCGTTTTAAAACCCATGGAGTTTGTTCTCTTTGTTACAATAAATCCACTTCTGCCCCGACTTCTCGTGGAAGATATTAATTTTATTGTTTATAAGGGTGGTTATCTAACTAATTATATTTTTTTTTAAGATAGACACCCTACACAAGAGTTTTTCATCACCTTAGAAACAATATTGTAAATTGCAGAATCAATTTTTGTTTCTTCGTCGTTACATCACGATTACCTATATCTATATACCTATAAGATCAAAAATAGTGACACAATTCAAAATTTTTGAACGACTTTAAAGGATTCATAAAATTCTGAGAGGCTAATTAAATTTTTATGTGTAAACATCCACTGACTAATTCATTAATGAAAAACAAAAAAGAAATAAAAAATATATTCAAACAATAAAAAATAGTCGATTTTTACGGCACCTCAATGTACCTACAGAGGTGTAAATTACATTTCCTTCCTTGAAATATTCATTTATTATGAAAAAGTAACTTTGACGATTGCCTTTAACGGTTTCCGGAGGTTCATCACGTACTTTAATCTTATCACTGACTTGTATTTATACAAATAGCGAAACAGTGCATGCTTTATCTGAAAGCATGAATGCATGTGCGCAGTTTTTTTCTCGTAAACTAGTTCAAGCCGTTCAAATTCGACTCAGGGGCGAAGGATTCCGTACCATACTACTACTGTTAGAAATAATAGGTAATAATAAATAAAAAAAAAACACGAATTTCTCACAAACTATTAGTAACTAGTTGCATAAAGTTTAATTCCTGAAAGCGGAACTTCTAAAAAACTAACAAATGCATGTACACCTTTTTAAAGTTGACCCTTCAGTTCTCATATACCGAGAACAATTTTGTTAAAAATTAGGTAAATGTTTTTTTAATCGCCTACATATTCCCATAATATGTATTTATGAATTACATAACTTATGATCAGACACTTACCGTTGTAATCAGCAAAAGTGATTTTGGGGTTGATGTTTACTTTTATCTGCTTCACTTGGTACTTGTCTTTGGATTCTTCGAATTCAATGATCAAGGAGTTCTTGGTTGTATTGGTGGTATCATTTTTATAATACCACATCAACGTAAGCGTTTTATCATCTTCTTTACAGTCTCCTTCAACAGTGGCATTCGTAGGTACATTAACCAAACCCCTCGACGATTTATTATTTTCAGTGTAAGGAAATTCGATCTGAATTGCAGCCTTCAAAATGACGCAACTGGAATTGGTATCCCCGTAATGCATGGACCACAAACCAGTTGAAGGATCGCCGGGATTAGCTGGAGGAAACGGTGACGGTGAGGGCGCAGGAGGTACAGGTGTACTAGTAGGAGGGGGGGTAGGAGCAGCAGTGGTAGAAGTTTTAGTTGTAGGAGGAAGAGTGGTAGGAGTTTTAGTTGTAGGAGGAAGAGTGATAGGAGTTTTAGTTGTAGGAGGAAGAGTGGTAGGAGCTTTAGTTGTAGGAGCAAGAGTGGTAGGAGCATGAGTTGTTGGAACCGGAGTAGTCGAAGCATTGGTGGCAGGTGTAGGCTCAGGCTCAGGAGGTGGAGCTTTAACTGCTGTAATAAGACAATGAATTAGCCTTTACATCCTAAAGGATAATAAAATTAATTTTCAATTAATAAACAAGTGGAATTATCGTCGTGTTTAATGCAAGGTTACCTAAAACATTAAATTTTATTTTAGCAAGGTTTTGTTAGTTTCTGATCACGTGGTTTTATAAAATTCAATTTACACAGTAAGCGGCTCTTGTCTCAAAAATTGTACTATATCACGATTATGGAAACAAGGATTTCAAAAATTCTTTATATGTGGTCGCAGTCCACCACATGATGGGGGTAGAGGTCAGTTTAAAGAAATCCAAATTACTAGGAAGAGTGGTATTTTAACTATCCATTATAACTTAATTTTCTGAACAATCTTGGGGTCGTTATGGTTAACTGAAGTTATCTACTACTATCTCGATCTTATTTGATCTCATAAGCATGTGTTTTACCGTTTACAAATCAATTATGCATATATCAAAAATTACTATTTGTTTACATCAGACAAAGATACAACGAACTCGGGCAAAGTATTTTTAAAACAAGATGAGCTTCTCAACTATTGAACAGTAATAATAATAAAACACACAAATCAAAAGGAAACCACTGCAAAAACTACATCGTACCTATCACAAAATCATGTATCAACGCCCAGGTTGAATCCTAGGACCTAGAAGGAAGGATATTTCGAAATTCAACCCCAGCAAACGTTGTATGGGGCATTTTTGTTTGTAGTCAGATTTACTTGAAACTTGGTCTTAATGCTCCTTGATATAACATATTAAAAACCTATTTCGACATTTAATAACATTCTATACTTGAAGGGGTGAAAAGATTTATGCTTTGTGATACTGGTTGTAGCCAGTGTTCAATATGAATGCAGGTCTGTCTCACGCCCACTTTGCAGATATGAGATTTTGAAATACCTCAACCTTTTATCAGTTTCTTTTGCAATATTCAAATAATCATCTATTACATGAAATAGGCAAGTACATTTCTTATTTAACGAATTAGGCAAAATTTTGAAAAGTACATGGAGTAGGCAATAACACATAACGGCTTAACGTATGCACTGCATTCAAAAATAGGTATAACATCCTTAAAGTTAGTTATTTGTGTCAGAGGGACCATTTCCTTCATAAAATTAGCACATACTGCATAAATATATATATATGACATTATATATAGATAGATAGATATGTACTTTGCAGATAGTTTACGATTAACATTTCATAGGTATTACATTTAAACAGATAAATCTGCACATACACATTATTACCATTTAGAAAAAAGAAGACATTTGTTTTCTTATTACTTATATTATGAATTTAACTTCTAAAGCTATAAATTAATTTTCCAGGGATCACAGGGACCATTTAGTCTTCCATGTGATAATTTAAGTTAGCAGTTCTCAAAATTTTCGATATCCTCGAATTGAAAATTCAAAAACTATTACTTCTTACATAAGACAGCAAATATCTATTTCCATTCCATCCTTTTTAAGATGAAAAAATTAAAAACGTTTTTAAAAACCCAAAAACGGTGAGACTAATATTAGTTATTGAAAACCGATGATTCAGAATAACTATCAGGATTCCAGAAATCAAAGTCCTACTTGTTCTACTTTAATAAATAAAACGGAAAGAACTCTTTTTTAAATTATAACTTCATAAAGGTCATTTCACAGATAGAAATTAGGCGTAAACAAGATTATTAATCGTAAGAACTAAAACGTTTATAGCATTTCCCACTAGGACAATATATCTGCAGCGATTCTATTGTTATCATTTTTTACCTTCCATAAAATACTAAGTGTATAGAAGAAAATAACTGCTAAAGCCAAGCTAAAACAGAAAAAAATAGTCCAGAATTGGTTGAGGTTAGGCCAACTGTTATCAATCCGTATCACTGAAGATAAAGATTTTTAACACAGACAATGACTACAGCGTAATCAAAAATATATTACTATTAAAACATGCGTAACATATGTACTTCTGCCTAATGAACAGACTCTTGCTAACATATATAATATAGTATATTTTCAGAATTCGAATAAGTTTGTTTACTCGGAACTCACTCATTAGCATAAATATAGGAGACATTACAAAATGACGTACTAATAAACAAATTCGTTTTACGTCTAATGAAAGCCAAAGTATTTAATAAAAGCAAGCGAAATAATACAATAACTGTCAATTTCTAGAAAACGGTACACCCCCCAGGGAATACCGAAAGAGATTAAAGTACGTGTACTCACCAGTTTCTGCTGCTAAAACAGCTATTAACGAGGCAAAAATTACGTATTTCATTTTAAAATGTCCGTTTGAATATTAAAACAATAACACACGTTAATTATGCGACTAACAATTATCGTTGGAGTACTGCCGATGACGACCGAATGACTTACGACTTACCCAACTAAACCAAAAATGAAATTGGAAATGTAAATTATCTACCAGGAGGAATTATTACTGTTACGTTAGGTTAACTACTTTATCGGTTGATTCATACTAGGATTGTGTTTCTACTTACCCGCTTACAGATGGCTCAATCCTTCATTGTCATTTTAGTAAATGTTCATAGGCAACACAATAGTACGTAGAGGTATATGAAATTGCTTAAATTACGGAATAATGCGTATATACAGGGTGGCCCGTAAACAGTGGAAAAATTTTTTTATGTTTTTCTAACAGCGGAGTAGCGAGACTATCCAGAAAAATATATATTCTCTAATTATGTAAAAATTTATTGGTTTTCAAGAAATTAAAAATTAAGTCCACTTAATTTAAAGCTTGTGAAAGTAAAGTGCAAAATAGAAATGGAAAATTTTAATAAATGTACTGTAATCATTTATAAAGACACGTCTAATAGCTTTATTAGTTAAAAAGAAAGTAAAAGCTTTCTCCGTTTATGATCGCGCTNACTAGAATCACTAAATGCAAGAAACAGGATAAAGGGGGGACTGCTTATCGAATAGTTAACTTAAATAATAAATAGTGAAGCTAAACTATTAATTATATGATTCACGTAACTAATTAACTGTAATAAGAACAGTTATTACTGAGTAATGACTTCTATTTACATAACAGGCAAATAAATAATTTAATTTAATAATATATAAGTACCTTGCACTCGTACCAATCATTAAACTCATTAACACGGTATGTAACAGGACATACACGCCATTTTCTCTCACATATAACAAGTATAGTATTGTTCTTATTGTTTTAAAATGCATACGCAGCGGGGTATTTCACAAACAGACTAACGATATATTTGGTACCAACGTTCGGCTTCTGTATTTATTTTCTTTATCGGTTTAATCAAGCAGTGTTTAGATATACAGATATATTAAATCATTTCTCGGTCTATTTTGTTATTTTTAGAAGGACCGACTCATCTGATTTTTCATAAAAAGTAAAATCTCAATATTTAGTGGACGATTTCGTGTGTTAGAGCTTAGGTATAAAAGTGGTTTCAATTAAAAAGAACAGTGGAGTTATTAATATAGTAAAATGTAAAAAATCTCTGTTACCACACTCTTACTAAAAGTAGCATAATTTTCCCTGATTTGAAGGACAAAAGCGCAACTTTCCTTTCCAGGTAATAGATCGAATTTACTCACTAAGAAATGATTTTAAGATCCTTTGCAATTTTCATGCGGCAGATGTTAAAAAAAATTCTATAATAAACAGTAAATACGATTTCTTATTTGTTGCGCTTTCGTCGCTAAAATAAGGGAAAATCGAACTTTCAGGGCAGGGGTATGGTAAAAAATCGTATACGGGCATCTGGGAGAAAAACAGCACCCTCTTCCGGGGTTTTGCCACCGTACTTCCTTCCCTTGGTGCGTAATATACTTATTGTAATAAAAAACTTATAAACAGGGTTGTAACGAATATCCGCATCGACATCTGCAACTGCGGATGATCTGCAGGAATTTTAATATCCGATCCGCAAAGTTGAATTGTTTAAAATCCGCATCCTCATTTTGAGAAGGACATTTAACTGATATTTGTTGTGTTACAATGCTATAAGAGGAAACACGATATGTTGATAAACAGTCAACATTAGGCCGGACGGAAAGCGAATTTCTGCCGCCTATTTACCGATAGCAAAAGTAATCAATTTTAAAATGTTTGAGATATTTGAAAATAGACTAAGTTCTCAAAGTGTACGAAAATGAAAGGATCAAATTACATTAACAATTCTACTAATTGAGAGTGTATCTTTAGAGAAAAACGAAATATTCGTATCTTCATCCATGTCTTCACCTGCATCCGCTAAAGCATATCCGTTACAATCCTACCTAGGAATATGTATTAAAGGGTATAAAACACCATAGGTACTCCATTCCTGTGTATATCTAAAAAATGGTAAGTTATGCCATTTATGAATGTTTTTGTGCGATTGACATTACTTATTTTAAGTTGGTTATAAATGATTTTTTATTGAATTGCGATCTCATATCATCAATGATTAATTTATTCTTATAATTGTGTTGGTACGTTTCGGTTTTTATCTCACGATCAATCAGTAAAATGAAAATATAGAGAATGGTACCTACTGCAATTTGTAGGTGCATTTGTGCGCCTGACTGAATTTTTGAAGATGCAATTAGCCAAACGGTTCAACTTTCAAATCATTAATTTCTTTCGGTTGTATTATTTTCTAAAAAACCAATCTGTGTATTTTTGTTAGCTTTTGCTAAAAGGAATGTTACAACTAATAACTACAATGAACGTGCATAGTTACCCATTTTTAGATATACATTGGATTCGACGAACAAAAAATAATTAAAATATGAAAACGAGCATACTTTACTATTGTTTTCTTTGATTAAAATTCAAATGAAATAACACTCATGTTTACAATCATCACACATCAAAGGTATTGATGAGCTGGACGTTTAAATACCTTTTATTGTTTTTCACGATAACCATTGTTATTTTATGCATATAAGTGTATACATAGATACCTATATAAATATGTTTGTGGTGGTGATTGTTTTTGTGATGCCAAATTTTGGTGTGAAAACCATTCTATATTTGGCACTTTTCAAATTTCGTCATGAATGAATTGTTAAACATATTTGTGGCATTACATTTACTTTTGCGTACATTAGTAGCAGGCAATATACTTGGGAAACATTTTTTTAATATATAGTACGTACTTTGTGGTATTATTTACAACGCCGTTTTTTCTGAAGAAGTTTTAGACAAAATATTTGTAAATAGATTGTTGAAAGCAGTAGATTGTATAGTATGCATTTCAAGTGAAAATTTTGAATGTAGAAAGTGTAGATGCAGTTATATTATTTACATGTTTGTTTATATGTTGCAAAGGGATAATCTAAAGGATTGTTTACCCTTATTTTTTGAGATGAAATGTATAACATCAAAATATCCGATAAATGTTCAATGTTGATTACACATTGATTATATAAAATGATGAAAATTTTTGTAGTAGAGTAGAATAAGTACAGTGTCTGTATCAAGCAATATTTAAGCTTATAATATTATTATATACATCTTGACATCTATTTTATATTTGATATACACTTTTTTTGTAATAAAATTAACACGAATGGTAGTATGGAAGCATTTTATCAAAATATTTGCTTACCTATTGAAATTTGCGTCTTAGGAACTACTTTTATGAGTAATAAAAAGATTTTAATTTTATTCTTCTTAATTTTCAATAAATACCCTTCACTGATGGTTGCTTGAGATAGCCCGAAATATATTCCCCCACACATTCGCGTATCCGAGATAATTATTTATACTTGATATTGAGCCACGCAATAAATTAATATTCGCTAAAAGGGCAGTATGAAACTTTTGAGCTCGTAAAATAATATTCAGATTATTTTTTAATTAAAGGTAGAAACAGTAAGTAATCCTTAATTAAGGACCATCAATATTGAGCCGGTATCAATTAATTAAACAAATAAACGTGTTAGAAATACTCGTTAATGAAACAAATGAGCAGATTTAGAAAGGGTGCAGATGACGTAAGAACATTTTTCATAATGGAATGAATGGACAAAGGTTGAGAAATGTGACAGTAATGAATAAAAATTAATGATCGCCGATAAGTGACTTTTTGAGACATTTGAAGCAGCATTTTTTTTACAATAGGTAAGAAGTATTTTCACTATAAATTTGAGCATCAGCGTTTTTTTTCATAAATATACATCAGCCCCACAATTGGGTTTCAACGAATACAAATTTTTGGACTTTTTTGTATCCAATTATTCATGAGAGAACCCCCTGAATTCAGTATTTTTATTCTCCAATCAACTGTATTTAACTTTGTGAAGGAACTTTTGAGAGCAAAATAACTCAATCTTCCTCTTTGACAAGAACCTGACATTCTAATATTATTTCGACGATTGTCCGAAACGTTAAACGCGCATTTTTCATATCTTCAAAAAAATTAGTAGACGAGATTCACCGGTCTTGTATCGAAATCTCTTTTGAGAACTTCGTCAAGACATTTCCAAACCATGATATTCCTAGAGCAGCCGAACCTGGGTACCACAACTCATAAGCAGACTAACAACAACGACAACAACCATCAGCTGAACTGATCGCTAGCGTGTTGGGTTGAAATTATTCAAACTGCTAAACGTTTGTGAACTAAACAATCCTAAATATTTATATTATCTAACTAGACCGCCACCAGTAAGTATAATCACCTAGCACGCGACAAACGCGTATTCGTTTCAGTGTGTGTGTATGTGTGTAAGTGTGTGTTATTGTGAGTTGGCAGTTGTGGGGCCCCGGCGCTGAACCCTCACGAAGGGCAGGTTAAGGGTGGAGGCCGGGGTTGGCGACGGCTGCTTTCTAATAATCTACCATTAGTTCGAAATGCACGGACCCTCGTCGGTCCACTCTGTCGTGATAGATATTCTTCGCCCATGCTTTGCATTCTATGTTGATCGTCACGCCACCTGCGAAATACGGAGACTCACATTAATATTTCACACTGCAATGCCATTAGAGCACACGAGAATTGGGGCTCGCATTGATATTCCAGGCTTTATAGTGTCAGGCAGAATATCCCACCGACATACAATATGGAGCAAATTGGTAGATGAGGCAGAAGCCTCTTTTAGAATCGTGTAAATAACTAGGGGGTAGTGGTTAAGGAAAACGATAGGGGGCGAGACGAAGACAGTGAAAGGGTAAAGATTATCTAGTACTTCATCAAGATTTACCTACTCCATCTAAACGAACTAGTACTTTGGAACGTTATGATCTAGAATCTACAGCTAGACCCCACTAAAACGATTCCCCCTTTTGGTAATCGTGGGAATAAGTGGGTAGTGATTGGTGTGAAATGAAGGCAGAAGGGGATTGAAAGATTATCAGCATTTGTTTGTTTAATCCAAGGAAACCGCGGAAAAACTTGGATTGAAGGAAACTGATCGAAATCGAACCGGTGTCTTCCCGAATCCTAAGCTCTAACCTGGAATCTAAAGTGCAGGACCACGTCGCCAAGGGCATAATTTATGACAGATCACATAATAGTTCAAAAGTGTGACCTTCTGAGACCTACTCAGTGGTAAGTTCAAAATTTTATCTAGCTAAAATAGCTTACAATAAATTGCCAAAGTTGCAAAAATTAAAAGAAAAAAAAAATAAAGTTACATATTAATTTTCAACTCAATGTCAACTCGCATATACGCCAGATCCAATTTCATCCATGACTTTAGCTTTGTCATTGATTGGAAAGGAAAGAAGATATTGATTTCGGTTTTTTAATTATTTTATTAAAAATGTGCTAAAAGTAAGAAAGTTTAGTTTTTTTTTTATTGTACTTACGGGTAGGACTTTCGAAACTGACGGCAACCAGTGGGCTCAAGTAGTTGTCTTGATTTAAAAACGGAAAATACTGACCTCCAAATCCGCGCTGAGGGAAATAGATAACTGGACCGATGTTTTCCATGTCGCCGGGGTTCTCGCCTTCGCACGAAACCCACACTGTTTTGAGCTAAAGAGAAAAGTAAATAAATTTATCGAAATTAATCTATTAAACTAGGAATTCTACCACGTTCGGCATTTCACTTGAACCATGGATACTGTAATTCTTTTCCAATTCCCTGATGTGTTCCTGTAGATCTGGTGGCATATTTTTCGGCATCGACGATGAGTTATAGTATTCTGGAATCCATCCGTATATCTGTAAAGTATTGGTAAATGTTGTGTTTTCAAACGAAACAAAACCACTCTTCACAATATTTTACCTTATTCAGTTTAAGGAAAATGCAAGGTCCTTTTTTGGACGAATTAAAACTGTAGAAATATTCCGGTAAACATGGCTTCCACGAGGCATCAATGATAAGTTCGCAAACCTTATCTTTAGCCGGAGAAACTCCTTGGATGCAACTCTCAACGTTGGTTCTGTTGCCGTCCTTCTTCGCCTTGTAAACTAGTAAAGGAAAATAAAACTAAGACTTCAGTCAGTTCAAGTTCGAAATTTACGCATACTTGATAAGAAGTCGTCGAGTTGTTCTTTCCAATATTGAATGTTGCCCCTGTTATCGTATTTGTATCGGATTAAAGTACTTTCAACGTCGATTAAGGGTGGCATTGGTCTGAATCCCAGCCCTGAACAAAAATATGCACAATATCAAAATCTACAAAACAAAGTGATTTTCTAAAAGTCATCAAAGGACAAACTATTCATTAAATAACTCCTTCAAGTTTTGTCGTATGTATTTGATAAAATCCTTATACATGTATATGCAGTGGCGTTTTTGTGTTTATTCGCTATTATAACTTTTAAACTTGCAAAAAGATATTTTTCATAAAACTTGATGACAAAGTGTAATAAATTGTTGATTTAATGTGTTCCATTATTATCAGAATTCAGACAAGATAGATTTTACGACGAAATGTCGTGATGGCTAGCTCTCATCCATTTTCAAAGAATATACACATACATATAAAAATTAGTAATCATCCTAATTGAAAGCTAGTGAAATATTAATGATACATGAAAAGTCACCTAATTTGCTAATTTTATATGAGAAACGCATCAAACCACTTTAATTAATTTAGATGTGATGTGGTACTGACTGTGGTAGGTATAAAAATTGTCTCACGGAGCAAATGAAAAAAGAAAATTTACCAAAATATTAAAGCGGTATTTACAAATTATCCCACTAGCCCGTTGCTTCGTAAGGGAAAACAATAGAAATGACAATTTGGAAAAATTAAATCTCAGCAGAAATAAATTTACTAGGTATATTAGTTGTAATAATTAAGAAATGAAATAATTTTTAAAACAGTATGTCAAAACTGAGATTATTACAAGTTACTTAATAAATTGTACTATTTCTACAGCAAATTCAGTCATTTACAATAGAAAATTGTAATTTTTGCTTTGCTATAAAAATTTAGTTTCCTCTGTGTTGTAATATAAAGAAAAAAAGTTAATACATGTATTTAATTTACCTGGATTTGTTCCTATAACTGATTTATCCAACTGCCATTTAGGCTTTTTCATATCTAAAGTCTGATAAAATACAGCCAGTAGTGCAGCAAAGAACCCTATAAGGGCTGCGTAGAAGATGATGTAGAATAGGATGATCTTTCCTGTAAATAAAAATTCATCATTGAGCATCAACACATTTACCCAGTGATACATAAAAGACTTTTTATATTTTTAAATTTTTCCTGAATGAAACATTTTCATAGGTTTCGAGCTCGCGGTAGGTTTTCCCGAACAATTTAAAAACCAGTGGAAAAACAACAACTTTACTTATAAAAATTAGGGAATATTTATGAGTTTTTCTTCTGAAATAAATGATTAGCGAAATCGGCTTTAGCTTTGAACAGTATTTTGGTATAATTTTCGAATGATCACATCTTCTCTTCAAGCTTATTCATTGTAATACAACTGCAGCTTGATGTTTTTACAGTGATGATTCTTCAACACAACATAAACCTTGTCTACTAGTAGAAGTATGTACTTTTAATTAATTAATTTAATTTCATTTACCCTTTTGACATTTTTAAACTTTACTTTTCATGTTGATTAATTTATTTATTAAAACTAAATTCAAATAATATTTTGCGAAAGTATCTTGAAAACGATTTTAAATTATTGGAATTCGAAATTGATACACGACTGATAGCCTTACAGATATGCTTTTCAGATGTTATATACGACTTGTAAAAAGATGAGTCTTTTAATTAAGACAAAAACAAAGACCAAAAGTATAGCAACGGCTTTGTTCGTCGAAATTATGTACTTATATTTATAAATTAGAGTCACAATAGTTAAATAACTGCATAAAATATAGGCCTATATAGTTCCACTTTCTTTCCTGAAAACAATACAACGATGAAAGTAAAGTATGTAATTACACTTAGGACTTGTACGTAGTCCTTTGTTACCATTCTTAAGGATGTAACTGCACATGTACATAATGCTGCTCTATATTACATTTGCTTTGAGGTATGACGGTTTTCGAGAAACTTTGCTGAAGTTAATTATTATTAGAGTAAAGTACAATAATGTCTCAAGGTTGGATGATATGGAAATGTAAGGTAGGTACATACTCATGTTTCATGTTAATGTTTGATGTAGATTGAATAATAAGTGCTTAAACTGGCGTGGTTCCACCATTAATCAAATAACCACGTGTGGGCATTTTTTTGTGAACAATATTCTCTTTAGTAAACGAAACTTTATTTATAGTGTTGTTTGTATTCTTAAAACAACAGCACGTAATATAAAAACTACGCAAAATTTAATGTTTCNAATAAAACAATGTAGGGGCTGGTATCTATTTATAATTTATTTGTTAAAAAACGCTTACATCAAAGCACATAATGAATTATTTTAAGTGTGCATAACTATTGCACAGAGCATTTTAAACATGAATTTAAGAGGCTGTGCTAAGATATTAGACCATTAAACCAAATTTAAGTTATTGTACAAGAAAATTTGAACGTTCAGTCGTTATTTCTGGAACTCACCCGAATTCGCATTTCGTATCAGTTACCTACATATATATTTTTATCCGTACCCTGGCCACAAACACGTTTAATAACATACTTAAAAACTGCATGACAATTAATTACATCATTACGACCTATAAACCACTAAACTATATGACGTACAGGCAACACTTAAGTATAATAATTACTATTTGTAACAATTTTATTTTAGTTCTCTTTAATTTTTTCGTTAACACTAGCGTTTAACAGTGCTTAAGTATACTAGAATCACTAAATGCAAGAAACAGGATAAAGGGGGGACTGCTTATCGAATAGTTAACTTAAATAATAAATAGTGAAGCTAAACTATTAATTATATGATTCACGTAACTAATTAACTGTAATAAGAACAGTTATTACTGAGTAATGACTTCTATTTACATAACAGGCAAATAAATAATTTAATTTAATAATATATAAGTACCTTGCACTCGTACCAATCATTAAACTCATTAACACGGTATGTAACAGGACATACACGCCATTTTCTCTCACATATAACAAGTATAGTATTGTTCTTATTGTTTTAAAATGCATACGCAGCGGGGTATTTCACAAACAGACTAACGATATATTTGGTACCAACGTTCGGCTTCTGTATTTATTTTCTTTATCGGTTTAATCAAGCAGTGTTTAGATATACAGATATATTAAATCATTTCTCGGTCTATTTTGTTATTTTTAGAAGGACCGACTCATCTGATTTTTCATAAAAAGTAAAATCTCAATATTTAGTGGACGATTTCGTGTGTTAGAGCTTAGGTATAAAAGTGGTTTCAATTAAAAAGAACAGTGGAGTTATTAATATAGTAAAATGTAAAAAATCTCTGTTACCACACTCTTACTAAAAGTAGCATAATTTTCCCTGATTTGAAGGACAAAAGCGCAACTTTCCTTTCCAGGTAATAGATCGAATTTACTCACTAAGAAATGATTTTAAGATCCTTTGCAATTTTCATGCGGCAGATGTTAAAAAAAATTCTATAATAAACAGTAAATACGATTTCTTATTTGTTGCGCTTTCGTCGCTAAAATAAGGGAAAATCGAACTTTCAGGGCAGGGGTATGGTAAAAAATCGTATACGGGCATCTGGGAGAAAAACAGCACCCTCTTCCGGGGTTTTGCCACCGTACTTCCTTCCCTTGGTGCGTAATATACTTATTGTAATAAAAAACTTATAAACAGGGTTGTAACGAATATCCGCATCGACATCTGCAACTGCGGATGATCTGCAGGAATTTTAATATCCGATCCGCAAAGTTGAATTGTTTAAAATCCGCATCCTCATTTTGAGAAGGACATTTAACTGATATTTGTTGTGTTACAATGCTATAAGAGGAAACACGATATGTTGATAAACAGTCAACATTAGGCCGGACGGAAAGCGAATTTCTGCCGCCTATTTACCGATAGCAAAAGTAATCAATTTTAAAATGTTTGAGATATTTGAAAATAGACTAAGTTCTCAAAGTGTACGAAAATGAAAGGATCAAATTACATTAACAATTCTACTAATTGAGAGTGTATCTTTAGAGAAAAACGAAATATTCGTATCTTCATCCATGTCTTCACCTGCATCCGCTAAAGCATATCCGTTACAATCCTACCTAGGAATATGTATTAAAGGGTATAAAACACCATAGGTACTCCATTCCTGTGTATATCTAAAAAATGGTAAGTTATGCCATTTATGAATGTTTTTGTGCGATTGACATTACTTATTTTAAGTTGGTTATAAATGATTTTTTATTGAATTGCGATCTCATATCATCAATGATTAATTTATTCTTATAATTGTGTTGGTACGTTTCGGTTTTTATCTCACGATCAATCAGTAAAATGAAAATATAGAGAATGGTACCTACTGCAATTTGTAGGTGCATTTGTGCGCCTGACTGAATTTTTGAAGATGCAATTAGCCAAACGGTTCAACTTTCAAATCATTAATTTCTTTCGGTTGTATTATTTTCTAAAAAACCAATCTGTGTATTTTTGTTAGCTTTTGCTAAAAGGAATGTTACAACTAATAACTACAATGAACGTGCATAGTTACCCATTTTTAGATATACATTGGATTCGACGAACAAAAAATAATTAAAATATGAAAACGAGCATACTTTACTATTGTTTTCTTTGATTAAAATTCAAATGAAATAACACTCATGTTTACAATCATCACACATCAAAGGTATTGATGAGCTGGACGTTTAAATACCTTTTATTGTTTTTCACGATAACCATTGTTATTTTATGCATATAAGTGTATACATAGATACCTATATAAATATGTTTGTGGTGGTGATTGTTTTTGTGATGCCAAATTTTGGTGTGAAAACCATTCTATATTTGGCACTTTTCAAATTTCGTCATGAATGAATTGTTAAACATATTTGTGGCATTACATTTACTTTTGCGTACATTAGTAGCAGGCAATATACTTGGGAAACATTTTTTTAATATATAGTACGTACTTTGTGGTATTATTTACAACGCCGTTTTTTCTGAAGAAGTTTTAGACAAAATATTTGTAAATAGATTGTTGAAAGCAGTAGATTGTATAGTATGCATTTCAAGTGAAAATTTTGAATGTAGAAAGTGTAGATGCAGTTATATTATTTACATGTTTGTTTATATGTTGCAAAGGGATAATCTAAAGGATTGTTTACCCTTATTTTTTGAGATGAAATGTATAACATCAAAATATCCGATAAATGTTCAATGTTGATTACACATTGATTATATAAAATGATGAAAATTTTTGTAGTAGAGTAGAATAAGTACAGTGTCTGTATCAAGCAATATTTAAGCTTATAATATTATTATATACATCTTGACATCTATTTTATATTTGATATACACTTTTTTTGTAATAAAATTAACACGAATGGTAGTATGGAAGCATTTTATCAAAATATTTGCTTACCTATTGAAATTTGCGTCTTAGGAACTACTTTTATGAGTAATAAAAAGATTTTAATTTTATTCTTCTTAATTTTCAATAAATACCCTTCACTGATGGTTGCTTGAGATAGCCCGAAATATATTCCCCCACACATTCGCGTATCCGAGATAATTATTTATACTTGATATTGAGCCACGCAATAAATTAATATTCGCTAAAAGGGCAGTATGAAACTTTTGAGCTCGTAAAATAATATTCAGATTATTTTTTAATTAAAGGTAGAAACAGTAAGTAATCCTTAATTAAGGACCATCAATATTGAGCCGGTATCAATTAATTAAACAAATAAACGTGTTAGAAATACTCGTTAATGAAACAAATGAGCAGATTTAGAAAGGGTGCAGATGACGTAAGAACATTTTTCATAATGGAATGAATGGACAAAGGTTGAGAAATGTGACAGTAATGAATAAAAATTAATGATCGCCGATAAGTGACTTTTTGAGACATTTGAAGCAGCATTTTTTTTACAATAGGTAAGAAGTATTTTCACTATAAATTTGAGCATCAGCGTTTTTTTTCATAAATATACATCAGCCCCACAATTGGGTTTCAACGAATACAAATTTTTGGACTTTTTTGTATCCAATTATTCATGAGAGAACCCCCTGAATTCAGTATTTTTATTCTCCAATCAACTGTATTTAACTTTGTGAAGGAACTTTTGAGAGCAAAATAACTCAATCTTCCTCTTTGACAAGAACCTGACATTCTAATATTATTTCGACGATTGTCCGAAACGTTAAACGCGCATTTTTCATATCTTCAAAAAAATTAGTAGACGAGATTCACCGGTCTTGTATCGAAATCTCTTTTGAGAACTTCGTCAAGACATTTCCAAACCATGATATTCCTAGAGCAGCCGAACCTGGGTACCACAACTCATAAGCAGACTAACAACAACGACAACAACCATCAGCTGAACTGATCGCTAGCGTGTTGGGTTGAAATTATTCAAACTGCTAAACGTTTGTGAACTAAACAATCCTAAATATTTATATTATCTAACTAGACCGCCACCAGTAAGTATAATCACCTAGCACGCGACAAACGCGTATTCGTTTCAGTGTGTGTGTATGTGTGTAAGTGTGTGTTATTGTGAGTTGGCAGTTGTGGGGCCCCGGCGCTGAACCCTCACGAAGGGCAGGTTAAGGGTGGAGGCCGGGGTTGGCGACGGCTGCTTTCTAATAATCTACCATTAGTTCGAAATGCACGGACCCTCGTCGGTCCACTCTGTCGTGATAGATATTCTTCGCCCATGCTTTGCATTCTATGTTGATCGTCACGCCACCTGCGAAATACGGAGACTCACATTAATATTTCACACTGCAATGCCATTAGAGCACACGAGAATTGGGGCTCGCATTGATATTCCAGGCTTTATAGTGTCAGGCAGAATATCCCACCGACATACAATATGGAGCAAATTGGTAGATGAGGCAGAAGCCTCTTTTAGAATCGTGTAAATAACTAGGGGGTAGTGGTTAAGGAAAACGATAGGGGGCGAGACGAAGACAGTGAAAGGGTAAAGATTATCTAGTACTTCATCAAGATTTACCTACTCCATCTAAACGAACTAGTACTTTGGAACGTTATGATCTAGAATCTACAGCTAGACCCCACTAAAACGATTCCCCCTTTTGGTAATCGTGGGAATAAGTGGGTAGTGATTGGTGTGAAATGAAGGCAGAAGGGGATTGAAAGATTATCAGCATTTGTTTGTTTAATCCAAGGAAACCGCGGAAAAACTTGGATTGAAGGAAACTGATCGAAATCGAACCGGTGTCTTCCCGAATCCTAAGCTCTAACCTGGAATCTAAAGTGCAGGACCACGTCGCCAAGGGCATAATTTATGACAGATCACATAATAGTTCAAAAGTGTGACCTTCTGAGACCTACTCAGTGGTAAGTTCAAAATTTTATCTAGCTAAAATAGCTTACAATAAATTGCCAAAGTTGCAAAAATTAAAAGAAAAAAAAAATAAAGTTACATATTAATTTTCAACTCAATGTCAACTCGCATATACGCCAGATCCAATTTCATCCATGACTTTAGCTTTGTCATTGATTGGAAAGGAAAGAAGATATTGATTTCGGTTTTTTAATTATTTTATTAAAAATGTGCTAAAAGTAAGAAAGTTTAGTTTTTTTTTTATTGTACTTACGGGTAGGACTTTCGAAACTGACGGCAACCAGTGGGCTCAAGTAGTTGTCTTGATTTAAAAACGGAAAATACTGACCTCCAAATCCGCGCTGAGGGAAATAGATAACTGGACCGATGTTTTCCATGTCGCCGGGGTTCTCGCCTTCGCACGAAACCCACACTGTTTTGAGCTAAAGAGAAAAGTAAATAAATTTATCGAAATTAATCTATTAAACTAGGAATTCTACCACGTTCGGCATTTCACTTGAACCATGGATACTGTAATTCTTTTCCAATTCCCTGATGTGTTCCTGTAGATCTGGTGGCATATTTTTCGGCATCGACGATGAGTTATAGTATTCTGGAATCCATCCGTATATCTGTAAAGTATTGGTAAATGTTGTGTTTTCAAACGAAACAAAACCACTCTTCACAATATTTTACCTTATTCAGTTTAAGGAAAATGCAAGGTCCTTTTTTGGACGAATTAAAACTGTAGAAATATTCCGGTAAACATGGCTTCCACGAGGCATCAATGATAAGTTCGCAAACCTTATCTTTAGCCGGAGAAACTCCTTGGATGCAACTCTCAACGTTGGTTCTGTTGCCGTCCTTCTTCGCCTTGTAAACTAGTAAAGGAAAATAAAACTAAGACTTCAGTCAGTTCAAGTTCGAAATTTACGCATACTTGATAAGAAGTCGTCGAGTTGTTCTTTCCAATATTGAATGTTGCCCCTGTTATCGTATTTGTATCGGATTAAAGTACTTTCAACGTCGATTAAGGGTGGCATTGGTCTGAATCCCAGCCCTGAACAAAAATATGCACAATATCAAAATCTACAAAACAAAGTGATTTTCTAAAAGTCATCAAAGGACAAACTATTCATTAAATAACTCCTTCAAGTTTTGTCGTATGTATTTGATAAAATCCTTATACATGTATATGCAGTGGCGTTTTTGTGTTTATTCGCTATTATAACTTTTAAACTTGCAAAAAGATATTTTTCATAAAACTTGATGACAAAGTGTAATAAATTGTTGATTTAATGTGTTCCATTATTATCAGAATTCAGACAAGATAGATTTTACGACGAAATGTCGTGATGGCTAGCTCTCATCCATTTTCAAAGAATATACACATACATATAAAAATTAGTAATCATCCTAATTGAAAGCTAGTGAAATATTAATGATACATGAAAAGTCACCTAATTTGCTAATTTTATATGAGAAACGCATCAAACCACTTTAATTAATTTAGATGTGATGTGGTACTGACTGTGGTAGGTATAAAAATTGTCTCACGGAGCAAATGAAAAAAGAAAATTTACCAAAATATTAAAGCGGTATTTACAAATTATCCCACTAGCCCGTTGCTTCGTAAGGGAAAACAATAGAAATGACAATTTGGAAAAATTAAATCTCAGCAGAAATAAATTTACTAGGTATATTAGTTGTAATAATTAAGAAATGAAATAATTTTTAAAACAGTATGTCAAAACTGAGATTATTACAAGTTACTTAATAAATTGTACTATTTCTACAGCAAATTCAGTCATTTACAATAGAAAATTGTAATTTTTGCTTTGCTATAAAAATTTAGTTTCCTCTGTGTTGTAATATAAAGAAAAAAAGTTAATACATGTATTTAATTTACCTGGATTTGTTCCTATAACTGATTTATCCAACTGCCATTTAGGCTTTTTCATATCTAAAGTCTGATAAAATACAGCCAGTAGTGCAGCAAAGAACCCTATAAGGGCTGCGTAGAAGATGATGTAGAATAGGATGATCTTTCCTGTAAATAAAAATTCATCATTGAGCATCAACACATTTACCCAGTGATACATAAAAGACTTTTTATATTTTTAAATTTTTCCTGAATGAAACATTTTCATAGGTTTCGAGCTCGCGGTAGGTTTTCCCGAACAATTTAAAAACCAGTGGAAAAACAACAACTTTACTTATAAAAATTAGGGAATATTTATGAGTTTTTCTTCTGAAATAAATGATTAGCGAAATCGGCTTTAGCTTTGAACAGTATTTTGGTATAATTTTCGAATGATCACATCTTCTCTTCAAGCTTATTCATTGTAATACAACTGCAGCTTGATGTTTTTACAGTGATGATTCTTCAACACAACATAAACCTTGTCTACTAGTAGAAGTATGTACTTTTAATTAATTAATTTAATTTCATTTACCCTTTTGACATTTTTAAACTTTACTTTTCATGTTGATTAATTTATTTATTAAAACTAAATTCAAATAATATTTTGCGAAAGTATCTTGAAAACGATTTTAAATTATTGGAATTCGAAATTGATACACGACTGATAGCCTTACAGATATGCTTTTCAGATGTTATATACGACTTGTAAAAAGATGAGTCTTTTAATTAAGACAAAAACAAAGACCAAAAGTATAGCAACGGCTTTGTTCGTCGAAATTATGTACTTATATTTATAAATTAGAGTCACAATAGTTAAATAACTGCATAAAATATAGGCCTATATAGTTCCACTTTCTTTCCTGAAAACAATACAACGATGAAAGTAAAGTATGTAATTACACTTAGGACTTGTACGTAGTCCTTTGTTACCATTCTTAAGGATGTAACTGCACATGTACATAATGCTGCTCTATATTACATTTGCTTTGAGGTATGACGGTTTTCGAGAAACTTTGCTGAAGTTAATTATTATTAGAGTAAAGTACAATAATGTCTCAAGGTTGGATGATATGGAAATGTAAGGTAGGTACATACTCATGTTTCATGTTAATGTTTGATGTAGATTGAATAATAAGTGCTTAAACTGGCGTGGTTCCACCATTAATCAAATAACCACGTGTGGGCATTTTTTTGTGAACAATATTCTCTTTAGTAAACGAAACTTTATTTATAGTGTTGTTTGTATTCTTAAAACAACAGCACGTAATATAAAAACTACGCAAAATTTAATGTTTCATTTTTGTTTCTGCCTGGTTCATCCGCCAAAATGTTAAAAAACAAAAATTTCACTATTTTCTCTTTTTTTTGTGGCATTTCTGTGAATTCTTCATAAACGAATTAGCTTTGATTATAACAGAGCCTCAATTACAACAAGTACGTTTCATAAAGTAGACATTCTAAATTGCAATCAAGTCTAAACAAGAAATTCAATTTTCTCCTTTGCGAATTCAAAGGAGTTTGAAAGAAAGAAAACAGCAGAACAAAATTACGGAAATTCAGTTATATTCATGGCCATTGGAAGCATTCATTCAAAAGAACCCTTTTCTCTTTTTAACTAAATTAATGGGATCTCTTTAATCTCCATCTCCTACATGTCTTGAGCCAAATGCGTCAAAAATCTTCTTCAGATCTTCGTTATGAATCAGAACAAAGCAATTGACCAAAATTAGGTTTGACAAAAAGATTAAAAACACGAAAAGAAATATTTTGGAAATCCAACTAACAAATTGGGTTACCTTTGTAGTTTCAAACTGATATCGAAGAGGATTATAATTAAAAAAACAGAACGTTTACGTATATTTGCAAATATTACATTGTGACAGCTGCAGGAAATGTAGGTATTTTCAAATGTAGAGCGAAAATTCCTTATATTTTACCACTACGTAATGTTTCACCGTGTGTACCAGGTCGAGACTTCGCATCATTGATTTCGCTGTTCGTGCTTTCAAGCTATCGTATAGAAATAGTTTCGGCTCGTAAAGCTAAATTGCAGCCTGAACGCTCAACCTGCTTTTGTTTCTGCTGCTGCAATAAAATCGGGAAAACAAAAGCCCTCATAATGGATACAGTTCTACTAAAGAACCTTTTTATTCTCATTGAAAATGTTTCGATCATTACCAAAAATTTATTCAGTAACGAAAATGTTTTTCATTCCACCCTGATAGTTCATTTTTATTCTTTAGAATTCCTTTTCAAGCGTTTTATACATGTATGTACATGAGCACATAAAGAATAGGAAATCAAATAAAAAAGACATCGACAAGATTCTGAAGTTACTTTTTTGGTATAATTCATTGTCGAGTGAGTTAAGTAAATGAAGGGAATTACTTTTTCGATAAGATTTCTAATAACTGCCTCAAATATCTTCATTAAACCGAACTTCTATGAAAAACTAGCACGCCACATGTACACCTACATACGTGCATTGATCTTGTTTGTGGCTACCAAATCGAAATGATAGGTATTGATTGAATACTCTTGCTTGTTGAATGTTCTATTACCTAAATGAGCGGAACCAGAAGTGGCCTAGTTCTCTGCTACAAGAATATACTTTCCAAAATTACAGGAAATTTCGGTCAACTATAATGTAATTTTAGTGTTCGTGGGCTATGTAAGTGATTAAAACTATGTAGATGACATTATATATACACCAGAGAAATCATTTATTAAATCAATGCGTGTATCGGAGAACTTGAATAAATTTACATAAAGTTATTGCAAACCAACCGTAGGACTCCAAAAAAAAATATGTTCAGCCGGGTCATAAAGGTATCGATCAAAAAGGATCAATTAATTATTTTTGAAGTTGACAGTTATTCGATGTCAAATTAAATCAACTGTCATCATTGTTTAATAGCTTAAGGATGCTCGAGATAGTCCTTGATGAGCCAAAAAACGTGTATGCTCCTAGTCAGAACGTATCAGGACGTGTAAAAGTGACTATCTACGATAATCCGAAAAAAGTCAAAAGCCTGGACTTTTGTTGCAAGGGAGAAGCCCATACAAGCTGGGACAGATACGAAGGCAAGTGCAACGTGAAACGGGAAAATCGTTGGATCATTCCGTACGAAGGGAGAGAAGAGTATTTCCGAATAGAAAAAAATTTAATCGGCGGAAAAGGATCGTTGGTTGAACTACAACCTGGAGAACATGTATATCCTTTCTCATGCACCCTTCCTGCTGCTGCACCGTCTTCTTTCGAGGGTACCAAAGGTTTCGTCAGATATACGGTCAAAGCGACCCTGGTTAGACCCTGGAAACTGAACTATCATGCCAGAAAAATAATTAAGGTCGTTCGCCCTTTAGATCTGAACGTTATTTCTCGTCTTCGGGAACCGGCTTCCGTTGTGATGAACAAATCGTTCTGTTGCCTCTGGTGTAAATCGGGCCCATTAAACGTCACCCTCTCTCTGCCCTATACAGGATACACTCCAGGTCAATCAATAACAGCCACGTGTGAAATTGATAACGGTTCAGATGTCGATGTCGAAGAAATTGTTTTTACTTTGAAACAGTTGGTTTTCTATCATTCCACGAATCCTTGGAAAGAATCATGGGCTACAGAAAATCGAATCGCTGTAAAATCGCACGTCCAAAGAATCGCTGCACGAACCAGGGAAAGATTTGACGAAACCCTGATTGTACCGGACGTACCGCCTTCGCATTTAACTTACTGTGCCATAATAGACCTAGATTATCTATTTCACGTCATGGTAAAATTAAGTCCGTTTCATACGGACATGTCTTCCGCCATCCCTTTAACAATAGGAAGTGTCCCTTTGGAAGGCACGCTTTTGCCTTTCATGAATAATTCTCTGTCGGAATTTCAACCCATCCAAAGCGAGTGCACCTCAGACAGTTCAATTCTCGTTAGTGATAACGAAAAACAATCCACTAAATTGTCTCCTACCTATTACGAACTCAACGGGACACCTCAAATTGTTTCCAACGAAGAAGATGTTAAGGCCGTTCTATTACCCAAAGTCAATTAATTATGTATTTAAGAATAAATGGTTTTTACCAATAAGTGGTCTTTCTCTGATTGTACAGGGTGGTGAAATGGGAATGCTACAATTTAAAATCCAAATTATTTTTTATCATCATCATCGTAAGGTCGTCAGTCTGGTTGGACAATCACCTCCACACATCCCACATCGTTAACTATTTATGAACAGTAATGTAATCTAGATCTATCCCTTTTAACACCTGTTTCTGCTTTCAACATGTCACTAGCTGACCCTTCATACCTGAAAAGGTATCCTACCAACCTATCTTACCTACCTTTTTTTGACTTTCATAGCGCCCTCTGTTCTCTTACACTTTCTAATATTCCACATTCTGACTAGTAAAATATTGCAACTTTCCCTGTTGTACTTTTTGATGGCATCCCCGGAGGTAGTTCCTGCCCGGACATCCAAATGGGAGACTATTTTACGTCCAGAGTGCTTTATTCCAGAGGACGTCATTGTTGAAGCTATAGAGTTGCAAGAGTACGTTGTACTCGGGATCATAACGTGGGGGCTTCCCCCTATCAGAGTGCCATAGCGATCCTGGTGATCTCTACAACCCCGAGTACTTAAAGAGATGCTGCCCGTTTTTAGGGACTTGTCTTAGTCTGGTCTATCACTAAGGAGCCAAGGATCCCCCCCATTATGTTTCAACCTATGTTATGGTCTCCCTAAATCATTGAAATGCGCAAACTGATTATTTTTATCAAAAATTGCAGGTATTTCCAGCGATCATCTCACTATGAGTCTGACTTTCTTTTAGTCCAGACGTTTTTATTATTTTACTCCATCAACATCGTCTTTAGTTTTGTCTCGTTTTACGTTACTAACTAACTGGATTTAGGGTTACTACCCCCAATACAAAAGTCATCAATGCTTAATATATTTTATTTATTATTTGCACTTTTATGTACGAACTAATACTAATTTTGAAAAATGTTATTTTATAGTCGCCATATCTTCATAAAAGCCGCCCTTTTTGTCAAATTTCAATAGATCTTATGAGGGTTAGAAGCTTGAGTATAATTCGAATTTTTCTGTTTCGTTTTACTTGCAATCCAATCCAGTTTGATGTAAAGGCCTTGTTGTAAATTACATTTTAAAATAAACATACGTAATGTCCATTACGCTATTGACACTATGGGGGTTGTGAACAGAAAATAAAGTGAATTTGAAAAGAACTGAAAATGTGAATGGATTCTTCGAGCGAAAGTGAAACTACATTGACTTCAAAGCAGTAGGACTTTTATAGGATTCGATGTTTAAACTTTAAATTCCTCCACGATTAATGAATATTTAATGCCGTAACCGTGACGACGCTTAGACTACATGAAAATACACTTTGAAGAGAATAAACGGTTAATTTTGGTAACTCAGGAACTGCTTTTTAAACTGGCGTACAAAAAAGTTTCATATTTTGTTTATCAACCTTATTGTAGATTTTAATTTCAATTAATGAATTTTAAATTGTAATTGTAAGAAGACTCTACTCAAATAGAAGGTGACAATATCTTTTTGCTATAGATAAAATATCTATAATCTTATGTTTACTTTGAGCATAATCGAATTATTTTCGATATATGTATTCTGAAAAATGCAAACAGAATTTGATTTCTGCTCTTGTTGAGTGCTTTTCTTAAACTGCCAATAACGGCATTATGCGATTCTATTTATTTAAAGATATTTTTTTAATGTTTCTTCAAATTAAAAAATTAAAAAAGAAGACTCACCCCTAATTACCACAAAAAACTTTTTGTGGTCAGTCTCGCGTTGATAATGCCCACGTATGAAGTGGGCGAAACACGTGTCCGCTCAAAAAGTTTTTTGTGGTAATTAGGGGTGAGTCTTCCTTTTTAATTATTTAATTAATATTTACCACAGTCTCCTCTTTCTACTGTCTCTTCAAATTCTCTCTCAGTGTGTGGCATTGTGTACAAATTTATTACAATTTGAAAATATTGTCTAATTATTGCTTAGTCTTTAACGTCACCTGTCAAATACAAGACAATGTAGTTATTTGTGTTACATTACCAGTTTTGTGAGTTATGGGTTTATCGTCTTTCGAAATCATTTTAGATAATCCCCACGAAACTTATCTTCCAGATCAGACAGTTTCCGGCCGAATTAAAATTGTTAACACCAGTGTTAAACAGATAAGGGGTTTAGAAGTAATCTGTAAAGGCGAAGCATTCACCAGTTGGCAAAGACGCAGTTTAAAGTTAAAAGCGGGACAGTACGTGCACAAAAAGAAGAATTTTCTGATGTATGAAGGAAAAGAAAAGTATTTTAGATACAAATATTTTTTATTGGGTGGTAAAGGTCAAGAAATCGAATTGCCACCGGGTGACCACTTTTACACCTTTACTTTTGTATTACCTTCCGATTTACCCCCTTCATTTGAACATTCGAAAGGTTACATAAGATACAGCCTAAAGGCAAGACTAGTCCGGCCCTGGAAACCAGATCAGATAGCTTCGAAAGTTATAACTTTGGCAAACAACTTCGACCTCAATTCTGTCCCTACATTACGCGAGCCCAAATCAGTAAAGAACGAACAAACGGTCGGGTACTTTTGCTTCGCGTCTGGCATAGTAAGTTTAACAATATCTACTCCCCAAACAGGATACGTGAGCGGGGAAAAAATGACCGTAGCCTGCGAAGTGGAAAACGAGTCAAGTGTGAAAGTACAAGGAATAAGATTTTATCTAAAGCAGCTGCTACATTTTTCCGCTACTTATCCGTTTAAGGAAACGGAGCGTAAAGAATTGAAATTGGCCAAGAAGATTCGGCGATGTCAAATACTCGCCGGTGAAGTCGATAAATTTCAAACAAACATCACTGTTCCTGAGGTAGCTCCGTCGAATTTGTCTCGCTGCAGTATCATTGACTTGAAATACGAACTGGAGGTTGTGGTCAATCTTGGTTCGTTTCACAATGAACTAACAGCAACCATCCCCATCACAATCGGTTCTGTTCCTTTAGCGCAGGGTAGTAATTCTAATCCCACAGCTCCCGAACTAAATGCCCAATCTCTTACTTCCGTACTAAGTTGGCTAAGCGTCCTGGCAACACCATTACTCTCCAAAAATGGACAACAAACGTACTTTTCGTCAGATGTACTGGAATGTCCGCAAAACCCGAAGGCACCGAGCGAATTCAATTCATATAGCACTTGTTCGTACCCAGCAATCGCAAATCAAAGTCCATCAACTTTAATGAGTTGCATGGAAAGCGGTTGCAGTATTTCCAAACCTAATAATGATACTTGTCAAAACCTTTTAGAGTCTGTAAGTACATTGAAAACAACGTAAAATATTAGTTTATTATAATAAATAAACAAGAAATATTGCCTTCTCTTTTCACCAATAAAATATATTTTTCTCCGAACGTCATCTTAACTTTGGAAACAAAATCCATAATAACTCGATCTTCTCGCCTTCTGTGACACTCCTTTTTATTACTTAGGGACATAATGCCGCAGTAAATATCTTTTATTGCAATAAAAGTTGATCTCCTAAAGTATCATTTTGAATAAAACTCCCTGTTATCCAGTCATATATTTTTATAAGAACCAGGACCGGACCGGACAGTGTTGGCTCCGGCGGTTAGAAAGTTGAAAAGAAATTTGGTCTTCAAAAGTTAAAAAACAATTACGAAAAACATTAAATTTTAAACCCTATAACCCCGCAGTTGGAAGCTCATAACTCTATAATCCAAGCTTTTAAAATCCATCATAGCCTCGCACATAAAACCCCATAAATTGGGATGGAGATAATAATTTAATGGTGTCGTTAACATATGGTACAATAATAATATTTCAGATGAAGTACATTTTCTTTGAGCTTGTTGTACTCATTTGCACAACCTTTTGATGAACCATGTACCTACTTCTTGGAATTGAGGTTACTTTAGACGCTATTGATTTAATGTAAACCGGAAAACTGGGACAAAATATCAAGCAAAACTAATCCAAAACATTTTTATGTCATGTCTACTCCTCGCATTCAAACAATTTCAAAAGAAACCTTTTTCCCAGCCGTTAAATTAGGAAAATGTGAAAGACACTCATTGAATTAATTTCTAAAGATAAAGCTTTAATTAGAATTATAAANGTTTGTTTAATCCAAGGAAACCGCGGAAAAACTTGGATTGAAGGAAACTGATCGAAATCGAACCGGTGTCTTCCCGAATCCTAAGCTCTAACCTGGAATCTAAAGTGCAGGACCACGTCGCCAAGGGCATAATTTATGACAGATCACATAATAGTTCAAAAGTGTGACCTTCTGAGACCTACTCAGTGGTAAGTTCAAAATTTTATCTAGCTAAAATAGCTTACAATAAATTGCCAAAGTTGCAAAAATTAAAAGAAAAAAAAAATAAAGTTACATATTAATTTTCAACTCAATGTCAACTCGCATATACGCCAGATCCAATTTCATCCATGACTTTAGCTTTGTCATTGATTGGAAAGGAAAGAAGATATTGATTTCGGTTTTTTAATTATTTTATTAAAAATGTGCTAAAAGTAAGAAAGTTTAGTTTTTTTTTTATTGTACTTACGGGTAGGACTTTCGAAACTGACGGCAACCAGTGGGCTCAAGTAGTTGTCTTGATTTAAAAACGGAAAATACTGACCTCCAAATCCGCGCTGAGGGAAATAGATAACTGGACCGATGTTTTCCATGTCGCCGGGGTTCTCGCCTTCGCACGAAACCCACACTGTTTTGAGCTAAAGAGAAAAGTAAATAAATTTATCGAAATTAATCTATTAAACTAGGAATTCTACCACGTTCGGCATTTCACTTGAACCATGGATACTGTAATTCTTTTCCAATTCCCTGATGTGTTCCTGTAGATCTGGTGGCATATTTTTCGGCATCGACGATGAGTTATAGTATTCTGGAATCCATCCGTATATCTGTAAAGTATTGGTAAATGTTGTGTTTTCAAACGAAACAAAACCACTCTTCACAATATTTTACCTTATTCAGTTTAAGGAAAATGCAAGGTCCTTTTTTGGACGAATTAAAACTGTAGAAATATTCCGGTAAACATGGCTTCCACGAGGCATCAATGATAAGTTCGCAAACCTTATCTTTAGCCGGAGAAACTCCTTGGATGCAACTCTCAACGTTGGTTCTGTTGCCGTCCTTCTTCGCCTTGTAAACTAGTAAAGGAAAATAAAACTAAGACTTCAGTCAGTTCAAGTTCGAAATTTACGCATACTTGATAAGAAGTCGTCGAGTTGTTCTTTCCAATATTGAATGTTGCCCCTGTTATCGTATTTGTATCGGATTAAAGTACTTTCAACGTCGATTAAGGGTGGCATTGGTCTGAATCCCAGCCCTGAACAAAAATATGCACAATATCAAAATCTACAAAACAAAGTGATTTTCTAAAAGTCATCAAAGGACAAACTATTCATTAAATAACTCCTTCAAGTTTTGTCGTATGTATTTGATAAAATCCTTATACATGTATATGCAGTGGCGTTTTTGTGTTTATTCGCTATTATAACTTTTAAACTTGCAAAAAGATATTTTTCATAAAACTTGATGACAAAGTGTAATAAATTGTTGATTTAATGTGTTCCATTATTATCAGAATTCAGACAAGATAGATTTTACGACGAAATGTCGTGATGGCTAGCTCTCATCCATTTTCAAAGAATATACACATACATATAAAAATTAGTAATCATCCTAATTGAAAGCTAGTGAAATATTAATGATACATGAAAAGTCACCTAATTTGCTAATTTTATATGAGAAACGCATCAAACCACTTTAATTAATTTAGATGTGATGTGGTACTGACTGTGGTAGGTATAAAAATTGTCTCACGGAGCAAATGAAAAAAGAAAATTTACCAAAATATTAAAGCGGTATTTACAAATTATCCCACTAGCCCGTTGCTTCGTAAGGGAAAACAATAGAAATGACAATTTGGAAAAATTAAATCTCAGCAGAAATAAATTTACTAGGTATATTAGTTGTAATAATTAAGAAATGAAATAATTTTTAAAACAGTATGTCAAAACTGAGATTATTACAAGTTACTTAATAAATTGTACTATTTCTACAGCAAATTCAGTCATTTACAATAGAAAATTGTAATTTTTGCTTTGCTATAAAAATTTAGTTTCCTCTGTGTTGTAATATAAAGAAAAAAAGTTAATACATGTATTTAATTTACCTGGATTTGTTCCTATAACTGATTTATCCAACTGCCATTTAGGCTTTTTCATATCTAAAGTCTGATAAAATACAGCCAGTAGTGCAGCAAAGAACCCTATAAGGGCTGCGTAGAAGATGATGTAGAATAGGATGATCTTTCCTGTAAATAAAAATTCATCATTGAGCATCAACACATTTACCCAGTGATACATAAAAGACTTTTTATATTTTTAAATTTTTCCTGAATGAAACATTTTCATAGGTTTCGAGCTCGCGGTAGGTTTTCCCGAACAATTTAAAAACCAGTGGAAAAACAACAACTTTACTTATAAAAATTAGGGAATATTTATGAGTTTTTCTTCTGAAATAAATGATTAGCGAAATCGGCTTTAGCTTTGAACAGTATTTTGGTATAATTTTCGAATGATCACATCTTCTCTTCAAGCTTATTCATTGTAATACAACTGCAGCTTGATGTTTTTACAGTGATGATTCTTCAACACAACATAAACCTTGTCTACTAGTAGAAGTATGTACTTTTAATTAATTAATTTAATTTCATTTACCCTTTTGACATTTTTAAACTTTACTTTTCATGTTGATTAATTTATTTATTAAAACTAAATTCAAATAATATTTTGCGAAAGTATCTTGAAAACGATTTTAAATTATTGGAATTCGAAATTGATACACGACTGATAGCCTTACAGATATGCTTTTCAGATGTTATATACGACTTGTAAAAAGATGAGTCTTTTAATTAAGACAAAAACAAAGACCAAAAGTATAGCAACGGCTTTGTTCGTCGAAATTATGTACTTATATTTATAAATTAGAGTCACAATAGTTAAATAACTGCATAAAATATAGGCCTATATAGTTCCACTTTCTTTCCTGAAAACAATACAACGATGAAAGTAAAGTATGTAATTACACTTAGGACTTGTACGTAGTCCTTTGTTACCATTCTTAAGGATGTAACTGCACATGTACATAATGCTGCTCTATATTACATTTGCTTTGAGGTATGACGGTTTTCGAGAAACTTTGCTGAAGTTAATTATTATTAGAGTAAAGTACAATAATGTCTCAAGGTTGGATGATATGGAAATGTAAGGTAGGTACATACTCATGTTTCATGTTAATGTTTGATGTAGATTGAATAATAAGTGCTTAAACTGGCGTGGTTCCACCATTAATCAAATAACCACGTGTGGGCATTTTTTTGTGAACAATATTCTCTTTAGTAAACGAAACTTTATTTATAGTGTTGTTTGTATTCTTAAAACAACAGCACGTAATATAAAAACTACGCAAAATTTAATGTTTCATTTTTGTTTCTGCCTGGTTCATCCGCCAAAATGTTAAAAAACAAAAATTTCACTATTTTCTCTTTTTTTTGTGGCATTTCTGTGAATTCTTCATAAACGAATTAGCTTTGATTATAACAGAGCCTCAATTACAACAAGTACGTTTCATAAAGTAGACATTCTAAATTGCAATCAAGTCTAAACAAGAAATTCAATTTTCTCCTTTGCGAATTCAAAGGAGTTTGAAAGAAAGAAAACAGCAGAACAAAATTACGGAAATTCAGTTATATTCATGGCCATTGGAAGCATTCATTCAAAAGAACCCTTTTCTCTTTTTAACTAAATTAATGGGATCTCTTTAATCTCCATCTCCTACATGTCTTGAGCCAAATGCGTCAAAAATCTTCTTCAGATCTTCGTTATGAATCAGAACAAAGCAATTGACCAAAATTAGGTTTGACAAAAAGATTAAAAACACGAAAAGAAATATTTTGGAAATCCAACTAACAAATTGGGTTACCTTTGTAGTTTCAAACTGATATCGAAGAGGATTATAATTAAAAAAACAGAACGTTTACGTATATTTGCAAATATTACATTGTGACAGCTGCAGGAAATGTAGGTATTTTCAAATGTAGAGCGAAAATTCCTTATATTTTACCACTACGTAATGTTTCACCGTGTGTACCAGGTCGAGACTTCGCATCATTGATTTCGCTGTTCGTGCTTTCAAGCTATCGTATAGAAATAGTTTCGGCTCGTAAAGCTAAATTGCAGCCTGAACGCTCAACCTGCTTTTGTTTCTGCTGCTGCAATAAAATCGGGAAAACAAAAGCCCTCATAATGGATACAGTTCTACTAAAGAACCTTTTTATTCTCATTGAAAATGTTTCGATCATTACCAAAAATTTATTCAGTAACGAAAATGTTTTTCATTCCACCCTGATAGTTCATTTTTATTCTTTAGAATTCCTTTTCAAGCGTTTTATACATGTATGTACATGAGCACATAAAGAATAGGAAATCAAATAAAAAAGACATCGACAAGATTCTGAAGTTACTTTTTTGGTATAATTCATTGTCGAGTGAGTTAAGTAAATGAAGGGAATTACTTTTTCGATAAGATTTCTAATAACTGCCTCAAATATCTTCATTAAACCGAACTTCTATGAAAAACTAGCACGCCACATGTACACCTACATACGTGCATTGATCTTGTTTGTGGCTACCAAATCGAAATGATAGGTATTGATTGAATACTCTTGCTTGTTGAATGTTCTATTACCTAAATGAGCGGAACCAGAAGTGGCCTAGTTCTCTGCTACAAGAATATACTTTCCAAAATTACAGGAAATTTCGGTCAACTATAATGTAATTTTAGTGTTCGTGGGCTATGTAAGTGATTAAAACTATGTAGATGACATTATATATACACCAGAGAAATCATTTATTAAATCAATGCGTGTATCGGAGAACTTGAATAAATTTACATAAAGTTATTGCAAACCAACCGTAGGACTCCAAAAAAAAATATGTTCAGCCGGGTCATAAAGGTATCGATCAAAAAGGATCAATTAATTATTTTTGAAGTTGACAGTTATTCGATGTCAAATTAAATCAACTGTCATCATTGTTTAATAGCTTAAGGATGCTCGAGATAGTCCTTGATGAGCCAAAAAACGTGTATGCTCCTAGTCAGAACGTATCAGGACGTGTAAAAGTGACTATCTACGATAATCCGAAAAAAGTCAAAAGCCTGGACTTTTGTTGCAAGGGAGAAGCCCATACAAGCTGGGACAGATACGAAGGCAAGTGCAACGTGAAACGGGAAAATCGTTGGATCATTCCGTACGAAGGGAGAGAAGAGTATTTCCGAATAGAAAAAAATTTAATCGGCGGAAAAGGATCGTTGGTTGAACTACAACCTGGAGAACATGTATATCCTTTCTCATGCACCCTTCCTGCTGCTGCACCGTCTTCTTTCGAGGGTACCAAAGGTTTCGTCAGATATACGGTCAAAGCGACCCTGGTTAGACCCTGGAAACTGAACTATCATGCCAGAAAAATAATTAAGGTCGTTCGCCCTTTAGATCTGAACGTTATTTCTCGTCTTCGGGAACCGGCTTCCGTTGTGATGAACAAATCGTTCTGTTGCCTCTGGTGTAAATCGGGCCCATTAAACGTCACCCTCTCTCTGCCCTATACAGGATACACTCCAGGTCAATCAATAACAGCCACGTGTGAAATTGATAACGGTTCAGATGTCGATGTCGAAGAAATTGTTTTTACTTTGAAACAGTTGGTTTTCTATCATTCCACGAATCCTTGGAAAGAATCATGGGCTACAGAAAATCGAATCGCTGTAAAATCGCACGTCCAAAGAATCGCTGCACGAACCAGGGAAAGATTTGACGAAACCCTGATTGTACCGGACGTACCGCCTTCGCATTTAACTTACTGTGCCATAATAGACCTAGATTATCTATTTCACGTCATGGTAAAATTAAGTCCGTTTCATACGGACATGTCTTCCGCCATCCCTTTAACAATAGGAAGTGTCCCTTTGGAAGGCACGCTTTTGCCTTTCATGAATAATTCTCTGTCGGAATTTCAACCCATCCAAAGCGAGTGCACCTCAGACAGTTCAATTCTCGTTAGTGATAACGAAAAACAATCCACTAAATTGTCTCCTACCTATTACGAACTCAACGGGACACCTCAAATTGTTTCCAACGAAGAAGATGTTAAGGCCGTTCTATTACCCAAAGTCAATTAATTATGTATTTAAGAATAAATGGTTTTTACCAATAAGTGGTCTTTCTCTGATTGTACAGGGTGGTGAAATGGGAATGCTACAATTTAAAATCCAAATTATTTTTTATCATCATCATCGTAAGGTCGTCAGTCTGGTTGGACAATCACCTCCACACATCCCACATCGTTAACTATTTATGAACAGTAATGTAATCTAGATCTATCCCTTTTAACACCTGTTTCTGCTTTCAACATGTCACTAGCTGACCCTTCATACCTGAAAAGGTATCCTACCAACCTATCTTACCTACCTTTTTTTGACTTTCATAGCGCCCTCTGTTCTCTTACACTTTCTAATATTCCACATTCTGACTAGTAAAATATTGCAACTTTCCCTGTTGTACTTTTTGATGGCATCCCCGGAGGTAGTTCCTGCCCGGACATCCAAATGGGAGACTATTTTACGTCCAGAGTGCTTTATTCCAGAGGACGTCATTGTTGAAGCTATAGAGTTGCAAGAGTACGTTGTACTCGGGATNATATGTGTTCATATTGTGGATATCGTTCTCATAAGAGTGGCGATTTGAAACTTCACTTAAGAATTCATACTAGTGAACATCCATATAAATGCACCTTTGTTAATTGTAATAGGGTGAGGCCACATGGAGCGTCTTAAACAATCTTATCCGGACCCTATCTAGAGTGAACCAGCAAAAATTTCCGCATCCACTTAAGTAAGTAAAGTAATTTTGCTAAATAAATTACTTTATGGTTCTAAAAATGTTTTTAAAACTCTATTTAAAATTTGTCATTTCAAGAATTATAACGTTATTTGGTATTGGTTTTTCCTTAAGCTTCTGTGCCTAAACCACTTTAGCCACTTTTTAGCCAACCTCCCCCCACTTGGTCCACCATGCTTTTGTCCGTGGACCCCTCTAGAACAACGTATCTTTTTTTTAATTTCTTTAATTAAATTATCATTTTCATAGAAATTTTATCTTAATTTTATGTTTTCTAAATAAAAATAAATGTCTATCTATCACACCAAATACGTAATTTTCAGAACAACTATTGCACATCTATCCATTTCTACACCTTCTTCTTGGGATCACCAAAAATCTTATTTTTTTTACAATAAGAAACCATATTGCCCGGTATATTGTTCAGAATAGACTTTTACCCTTCCCCTTTACAGGTTTACGCACAGCCTAATTTTTTTTTCATACTCATTACATACATACATACATACTAGGGACCCCGACACATGTGGTCGTATAAGTTATCAAGCTATGCATTTTTCATAAAATTGTAAAATTACGAGTTTTTTTGGAATTATATAGTTTAACTTTTTTATAAATAAAGAACCCCAAAAGTTATAATACTATATTTATTTTTTAAAAATCGTCCCTCAGGACCGTAACTTAAAATATTTCTTGAAGGATGTAATATCGTACGTTTGGCCCCTTATGCTTGACCCAACTTTTTTTAAAGATTTTTTCATCATCTTTGACATTTTCGTTACAATAAATTTCTAGGCACAATTCAGGGTAGAATTTGGTCGCTCATACACTTATAGCATGCATGAAGCATTTTGAATAGCTTTGTGATTAAGAAATTCCTCTTCCTTTGTAAGGTTTCCATAACTACTAACGCAATTACTGCACTCCCGACACTAATAACATTATTAAATGGGACTTCATCTAAAAGGGTAACGAGATACACAATAACCCACGAAATCAAATCTACCAACACAATATTGTTAAATAATTTACATACAAAACTCTATCTGCATACGAATCTAATCGAAAACAATTTCTTTTTATATTAGTTAACTAATAAATATTCTCTCTAAGGATCAAACAATATTTCGAAGAAATAAGGAATATAGCAGTTATTTTTTAAACAGATAATAAAATTACCGGATAGATAATTAAAAAATGTTCACATTTGTGTAATCTTTTTCGTGATTAGTATCATTAATAAAAATGTAGTCTGTCATTTTTAATTAGTAGTCTATTAAAATTGGTTTGTGTTTTCGATAACATATTACCAATTAGGGTGGATAAAAGCTTTCATTAGCTTGCCGAAAATAGATTATACTTCAGCCAAACAAGGGGCTATAAATAGCACATTAAACTTATCTTGAAATATCTGCAAAGTTAAGAAAATTTACTAAATCAGTAGAATAATTTTGTAAAACAAGTAACGTAAGAATAATCACTTTGTCTATAACGGATTTGCAAATATGTACTAAGGATAAACAAAATCTAACAAACATAAATAGTGTTGTTTTGCTATATTAAGAATTATATTCTAATTAAATACTGATGCTAAAGCCTTCAGAAACATTTAAACAAATAAATTTTTATAAAAACTTATTTTAATTAAATCAGATCTTTATATAATCATTATCAATTTTGAGAATGCGTCAACAGAATTTTAGTTATTTTGAAATTCATAATTATACATGTACCATGTCATTATCATATTGTGTGTTCAGTAGTCATATTGATTAGGTATATAATGACAGGCTACTGTCGGAACAATTATGGAGTCTCAGTTTTTAATAACGTAGTGAAAAGGTTATCTAGTGGTTTGACTCTACAATTTTGATTTTATATATTTAAGTTTTCGAGTTCTTTTATGTAAAACTAGTTTTGAGTGTTTTTGACAATTCATTTTTCTACAAATAAAATTGGAGCAACTGAAAATCGGAAAATCATTTCTTCCTACGTTTCCTTTAGAAATTGCTTCATAAACGAAGTTAATCAAAAGCAAACTTTGTAAAGTTTCATTTTTAAAAGTCACCATAAAGGACTTTGTTGTTCGGTGTAAACATCATTAAACTTCCCTTAAAAAAAAAAATGTTGTAAAATAGAGACTGAAGTTGAAAGTATCATATTTCGATCTTATTGGGAGGTCTCATGAGCACGTTGCAGGCAGTCTCGATATATCACCGATCAAGAACTCCAACTTTAAATAAAATAATGCATAAATGGATTTTATTAAACTCATACATAAATTAAATATAAACTCACCGCTACTTTTTAATTTACGCCATCAACATCATTAAAGACAGTATAACTGAAGGGATAGATGTGCAAGGGCAAAAGATTAGTATGCTTAGATTTGCAGATGATATGGCAGTATTAGCATCTAGCAAGAAGGACCTAGAGATAGCTTTAAATAAAATGGAAGCGGTACTGACAGATCAGTACTGTATGAAAATAAATAAAAGTAAAACTAAAATACTGGTATGAAAGGGAAGAAAAAGTAGGGAAAGTGCGAATATAAAGATAGGAGACGAAAAATTAGAAGAAGTGGATGATTTTAGATACCTAGGAAGTCAGATAAGTCAGGATGGAAGGAGTAGTAGGGATATAAAGCAGAGAATAGCGCAGGGTCGTGTCGCTTTTAATAAAAAGAAGTCACTTCTATGCTCGCGAACGGTTAATTTAGAAATTCGAAAAAGTTTGTTAAAGGTGTATGTTTGGAGCACGGTATTGTACGGGTGCGAAACATGGACAGTGGGCGCGGCGGAAAAGAAAAGATTAGAAGCGTTCGAAATGTGGTGTTATAGGCGGATGATGAGGATATCGTGGGTGGAAAAGGTTAGAAATGAAGAGGTATTGGAAAAAATAGGAGAACAGAGGACTCTATGGAAGTCAATCAAAAATAGGCGAGATAGGTTGGTAGGACACCTTTTTAGGCATGAAGATCTAGTCAGAGACATATTAGAGGCAGAAACAGGAGTTAGGAGGGGTAGAGGTAAACCTAGGTTAGATTACTGTTCGCAAATAGGTAAGGATGTGGGCTGTTCTAGTTTTAGGGAAATGTGAAGTTTAGCTCAGGATAGGAATGAGTGGAGGTACGTGTCCAACCAGTCTTAGGACTGACGACCTTATGATGATATGATAATTATTATGTGACAATCGACCCCTAAAGTGTAATGCAAATAATAATTACTTAGCACCTAAAAAAATTAATCTAACCCTTCAAGTATTGTCTAAATTATGTATATTTAACTTAGTCCAACTTTATTTATGGTGCATTGCTCCCAATGGTAGAATAATCAGATCAAACATTACAGATAATTCTGTTATTTTGCATTGTCCTTATTTATTAAGAGAATAAGAGCTACTGTAGAAGAGGTTAAAGTTAGTATTTAAAATTGGTAAAAACCATGTCACCTCTGAAGTCATATTCCACTCTGTAGGCGGCGATTTTCTCAAAAAATATTCTTGCCATGTTCAAAATTTGGTAATATTGCAAGAATTAATGGAATAATAGTAACTGACCGTAATATTTTTTTATACCTGTTTAAACTAATGCATAAAACGTAAATACAGTACACAAATAAATACCTATCGTACAGGAAATAAACCGTTTATCAAAAACTATTGACTCGGTTTTTCTTTCCTTGTGTAGTAAAGCGATAGGTCATTTTCATTTCCTGAAGTCGCTGCAAAACCCGCAAATGTTATTTAAGCCCACATAATATGTCAATGCCATATAATTTAGGAAATTGAGTCGGTATATGTTTTTATAATATTTTTTATTTTATAACGTTATTATTAGGTTAAATTACTACTACTATTTAAATCGTATACGACAATAATTCATTTCGATTTCATCCATCGACGTTACATATTGCTTAAATATTGAACAAATTAACGTCTAAAAAAGCAGACGACAATTAATAATGGTAACAACAGTCAATTGACCCCAAAATAAACCGAATTGGTGCAGATTGAGATTTTCATACATCATTTTGCTTTGCGTTGTGTTTGCAATTATTGATATCCTACAGTATAACTTAAACAATATTAACTCAAATCTTTAAGTTGAAAAAATTTTATACCTTGTTTTATTAAACCAAATGAATTAATTAAACTATCAATCTAANTATTGTTATAAGTAATAAATTATTGTAACAATTTAGTTAGAAGATTTATTTAAAACAATGATGTGCTTAAAGAGTAATTTGGCGTTGTTTCAAATTCTACTGAATATACAATCGGAAAATGTTGAAGTCTGCCACTCGACCATGCTACAGTTAAGCATGCTCCATGTTTGAAGTTTTTCTGAAATTGTATCAGACAAGGTGACTCTTCGGGTGCACCAGCAATAAACACACTAAAAAAAATATTTATGATATATCCTAGAAACAAATATATAGTCACAAAATAATAAATTATTTTATTGTTAAAAGTAATTTTTTTAATTATAATCCATTTAATTTGAAAATCAATAAATGATTTCTATCTGTGACAAAGAAAAGAAAGTTGAGAAAAAACTATTAAAAATAGTCGTGAGTGCGATTATTGTGCGATACCAATAATTTTTTCTTAAACAAAGGATAATAAATTAGTAAAGGTTCCAATGGTGACCTTTGTTAAGAAAGTATAGACTCACCCCAACTGGCACCGGTCCTCCCCAAGAACTGATTTGTTTCGGAATTCCAAAGAAAAATCCTGAAGCCTTCCCATTTCCCTAATTTCGGCGGTCTTGTGTAAAACTGCTGTTCAGTCTTCTTTTCCGCCATTATAGGAAAATCGCCTAGTTCACTGCTTCACCCTTCACCGAAAGGGATGTAGGGCAGGCTGATTCTGGGGTAGCGGGTTCGTGCCCTGCGCAAACCGAAGGCACACTTCGATCCAATCGTCACTACTGCAGAGCGGCAATGCTCAAGAAATCAAAGTCGATTGTTCGCCACCCAGCGGAAAATTTATAAACGATACCATACTCGGAAAAATCGGAAAACTCAACGACAGCGTGAAAGCTCCATATATTTTAACAATCATCGTGTTGGGCAGATTTCTAATGCAAATGATAAGATTTGAACAAAGAAAAGGAAAAACGATTCTCACCTTGGAAAATCGAAATCGAAGTACTGCATGTATCTTCACCATCTTTCGTTTGTTAATATACTTAATTTTGAGTTATTTTTTTAAATTATACGTCTTGTTAATACTCTAAATTTAAATTCTGAATCGTTTGTGCCATTTTGTCCTACTGATTGCACAAAAAATAATAAATAACTAATTGCACCAGACACAAGTGAAAATTTGATGTGGTGGGCTGTAGATGCTAAATACTAAAACTTGAATGAAAAATAAAATTTTTTTATCATACCTATTATTTAGTGAAACGGTTAAAAATTAGCAATGAAACAAAATAAAAGTTAGATAAGCATTAAGAATCAGATTAAAAATAAAAAGTTTCACTGTTTTAAGGGTGCGTGATTTTTGACGATTTTAAAAAATGGTAAACTTTACTTTTCATCTAATTTTATTGGTTTTTTATTTCTTGTTAATGATTAACATCTTCACCAAATCAAATTTTGTAAATGTGGCTCGTACAATTAGTTATTTACTATTTTTCTACAAGAGCAATTTTTTAACATTGTAGATCTTCAACATATTTAACATTAAAACGTAACGGGACCGTTACGTGTATATGTTAAGGCAAATAAATTAGTAATCTCGCAGGATAAGATGGAGTGGAACTTGACCTTAAACCATGTATATAAAGGCCAAGGTTGTTTGTAGTACCCAAATCTCCTTCACCATCAGCCATCAAGTTCGCGCTAGAGCTTTATTCAAATACATGTACTTATATGCATCTAGACTTTGTGTACATGTAAGTACATACGTCACATACAAATATATTTATGCATTTTGTAATTCTATTCCCGTAGCAGGACATAAAGAGGATTATTAAAATCTTAAGCAGCCTGTTGGATTAATAATAGAAGATATTATTAAGCACATGGTAAGCCAAAAGTCGTTAGATCCTTTTAAAGGAATTGTATAGAAATTTCAGTTTCTTTCCATAAATACTCCCTTTTAATATTATTGTAAGAATTAAAGCTAAAATAAGGAGAAAAAGCACTTTATTTATTGTAATTAACACCGACGTTTCGCCTTTTGATATAAGACCCTTTTGCAGTCTACCTTGAAAAATATTTATACCAAAAGATAATACGTCGATGTTGGTTACCATAAATAAAGCGATTTTTGCCACCATTTTAGCTTTAATTTTTACAGTTTTATTGATATTAATATTTACCTTAATTGCCGAAATTATGCATACAAGAAAAGTACTTCTGTTTTTCAAAAATATTAAATGTTTACCAAATTCTAATCACTAAAAAGTGGATGTTGTTCGCACATGCAATAGATAAGGTCTGTGCTTAGGTTTGATGGAGTAAGAACTCTTAAGTCAACAAAGAATTCGTGTTGCCCGCTCCCTACTGATAATATTTAATTTTTGATTTGTAACCTGATAACTAAATAATAAATTTCTTTTTCCTTTCTTGGGTATGCGTATTTAGTTTGCCATTAACACATTCTCTACTGAAAATAAAAATTGTTCGTCAAAGTTAAAACCAGATTTAATCGTGAAACGTTAATCTGATGCAACGAATTAGTAACTTGTAATCTGATAAGTAGTCAGTTTGATTTGAAAATTTATTAATGAATGCTACCAAAAGATGATTCTTACACTAGCACTTTAATTTATTAAAAAGCTGAGAATTTATTGTTCCTCAAAAAATTCATTGATGTCTTTTACCAACTGGGTCTTTTTACAATCTGTAGTGATAAAATTGACCCAAACACCCAAGGAAACCTCTAAATAAAATATAAATGTTATTAGAAAACTCCTTTATTATGTTACTGTTTTTAATAATTTTCTAATATCGTTTTTTTTTAAATTACAAAAGTAATTAACTATTCAATTTATAAATTTATCCATCATGGATGCTTCATACTCTATGCTGCGTTCACTGCATATATACACAAAATGCGCCAGCGTCTAATGTGATAATACGTGAGGCCACATGGAGCGTCTTAAACAATCTTATCCGGACCCTATCTAGAGTGAACCA